TCTCAGTGAGGAGTTTGTTGTATGTAAGAGACATCGTGATGTGACAAGTTCAATTTCACACAAAAGTGCCGGTGGAAGTAAGCGGTTTATAGGTCGGTCCCACCAAAAAACGACAACGAATTCATGCTGCTTTGTCATAATTTGATGTTGCTATGCGATGCATTTTGATCCAGTCCACGCGACATCCCATGTTGAGTATTGTTGGGGAGAATTTGATTTCGTATGATAATGAGATCTCTTCTCCATGCACTTTCACATGAAATGAAAGTCTTTTTAGCAATATTATTTCAGGAGATTCATCGAAAACCAGGTGCTCTTCGTATATCCTACTTTGAGTAATTAGAAAACAACGTAATTTCTTTCCAGGGTCTTAGAGATTTAGTAAAGCAAAATTTACAAATTACTGGCATTGTGGTATCCCTACGTCTAGTTGAGTTGGTAAACTCAACCCATGTGAAAAACAAATATGACTACGACAAGAACTGATGACTACTTTGATTTCCCTCTTTTTGTAGGTGCGTCAACACCTTTAGTCACAAATACATCAAACAAGCTCAAATAGTTTTTACTTGACTCACTGTCACGATTCAGCCCTTTGCCGAACTCGTTGATTCGACATCCCGTCTTGCTTTGAGCCTACCTTATTCTTATCTTATTCGAGACCATAATTAAGTAATGACTAAGGACACATTTAACTACAAGTGGTTGAGCCAATTTCGTTGAAGGTGATGAAGGACTGGTAGAAGAATTTTCCCATAATGATATGAGTAGAGGGAAAATTCTTCTACCAGTCCTTCATCACCTTCAACGAAATTGTGTGAGTGTATCTCATATCACTGATTTACTGGTAGTCTCGAAACAATACTTAAAATGCGAAAAATAAAGTAGCGCAGTCGATCGTTATAGCAAATATAAGTTTGCTTCATAGACAATCCCACCAAAGAATATGATATGCTAAAATGCCTGGCCTTCCTTTAAAGTCACAGCTGCCCTGTGACCCAAGGGCACTCTTGGCACTGTCACGGTTCGACTCCCGCTGGGGTTGTTGACAAGACCAATGCGAGGTCGAAACTGCAGTCGACTCTTGTCTGGATGAGAACAACTTTTGGGAAAGCAAGGCTATGTGAAATTCAATGGAAACGTCAGCTCAACTTATATCATTGTGGGAATATTCTTCTACCAGTCCTTCATCTCATATTAATGATTTACTGGTAGTCTCAAAACAATACTTAAAATGTCGGTAAGCGCAAAAAAAAAGATTATACAACGGATTAAATTCGAAGATTGAGGCTAGAAATGTAAAAGCTTATTTTACTCGATCGAAAGACTCCTGGAAAAAAAGGGCCACTCACAAAAATACTGCTACTCAATTAGTCAGTTGTGGGATTATGCAATCACAGTCATGTCATTTCTTGTAGCATTAACTATTGAGGAACCTGGACTGAAGTTGCTTTATTTTCCAATTACTTAAAGGCATGACTAGAGTTTTATTACCAAAAGGTACACACGTATACACACCATATGAAATGTAACTAAACAAATTATCCTAGCTGTCATGTAATTCCTTCTTTTTCTTGTTGTTGTGACTGCATATAGCATACAAGGAAGCGTCGATTGTTTTTTTTGGCTTGGTTTTAGTAAGACGTCATTTCTAAAAATGAAGCCAGATCATGTCCGCGACAATAACATAAAAACGTGACAGACGCTTGGGGGGACAGATGACAGCTCGTCCCATTTTCATCGGTACCGAAAGAGGACGTATCGAAGCTTGTAGTAACATCAGGTGACTACAGATCAGCAGAAATCTTCCATCGCCTCCTGACGAGATCGACCTACGAGCCTCTTCATCAAGCACTTTACACAAAATAAAAGTCATCGCAACATTTCTATTTATTTCGCTTGGCGTAGTAACTCGGTAGTTGGTCCTCTTCAGGAATATACATGCTGTCGAGATGGCCTATTTGCATTGGTTGTTTATGGCTTCATGTCACCTAATCTGCAACCCCATATCACATTTAGCCCTTGACTTGATTAGTAGCTACCTTATTTTTCCATCGAGTCCACCATATTTGCTCTTTTCAGGACTCAAAGACCTACAACTGTACACCTTGATCAACTTAAATTGCTTCATTTCTGGTGTGATTCGGTCGTCGACCCCGTGGTCCATTCACTCTTCTAGCTAGTCCTGTGTTGACCATCCAAACGGTAGGATGGTTTGTAGCCACCAAATTGCTACTTTTATACTCGCCAGTTGCAAAAACATTCTTCTCTTTATGCCTATACATGCGTGTTCGCAAGTGTGTCGGCTGTTTGCAACATGTTGTGCTTGAGAGAGAAGATATTTACCCCATTTTCATAGGTTTTCCTTTAAATTATCGCCAAGCTCTCCGCTTCACGCCACTCTTCATGGTCTGATATTTCCACCCCTTCACCATCGCAAATAGATTTAGAAACTTTAGATTGCCGGGAGTCTTAATCGCGATGACTTCTGTCAGTCATACACCCTGACCCCTAGTTTTCCACTTTATCGGATTTTGCCCATGCATCCTACAACTCCTCCTTGCTAACCTTCCTCTATATCTGGACATTCCAGTCATGCTCCAGTTGTTTCATTCTCTTTTTATTGCCCTCCGTTGGCATGCTTCAATTATTTTCGCATATATCATCGGGTCCTCCAAGTGATTTAACCACTCACTTTTCCTTGCATTTCTTCCTCTTTCCTCGACTATCCAGTAATTTATTCGTGATATGTTACAACGCATTTGATTGCGTTATCCACTTTTTACCACACCCTAGAATAACTCATCTAATACTTCGTATACTTTTCATACAGCTTTTCTATGAAATTATTACGCATTTTATTCAATCAAAGCCTACTTCTTCTCCGTTTTAATGGCATAGATGGAAAATGCATATGCATAAATGCAATAAAATAAAATGTAGAGTCTTGTTTATTTATAGCTTCGTCAATCCAATCTTAAATTTTCCTCTATTTTCATTGATTTAAATGCAATAAATAAATAAACTGGAAAAATAAATATTTCCAAAATGTCTTTACTAATGTGTCTGCTTCCGGCCTCACCTACAGTTCCTGGGCCACCTCTTCCACCGACCCAACTGATCGCTCGACAGCTCAGTGCCTACCCACAATTGGACTACCACATCTCTTGGTCCCCGCCCCAGAGCTCGTCCGGCGACTCGAGGCCTCGTCCGGACAAACCGCACGACATGTCGGCCACCAACATCGAGGCTTCACAGACTCACGACGCAGTCACCGACCTGGCCCCCTCATCGGCAGTCTTAGCCGCGACCGCGCCTCCTGCTGGGGCCCCCGAGTCGGCCGTGATGCTGGTCGGGTCGTTTGTGTCCGGACTACCCACCAACTATCGAGTGGTTTGGGGTCCCCGGCAGGAGGAGCCGGTCAACAAAGAGATGTACAATGACGCGGCTGGCTTCAGTCCGATCCTAGATTCTCGAAAGTCAGACGTCCGTGTCATCAGCAAGGTAGGTGGAAAGGATGCAGAACCGTCTTCTCAGAAGAGGATGGAAGCCAAAGTAGCCCAATTCCTGAGGCCGACATCTATTCCCCACGAATTGCGTGTTAGTCGAATGATGCTTGGCCTAAAGGTACCACATGGAGGGCAAGGATGAGTGAAATGTACTGGCATTTCGAGGACTTTGGGTCATATTAATCTACATTTTGCGAAAGTTTACCATAAGTCCTTAGACCTTCTAAACAGACTCATAAAGTGCATAACAACGTTGTCAAGGTTAATGGGATGTACTGGTTCTAGAAAAGGAAAAATAGTGAATCTGAAGAGGCATTGCTTTTATTTGATTCACTGTGCTCCTAGCCCGGGAGGCCGAGTGATATTGTATATCTACTTTACATGCATGACTCGATTTAGAATCGCTTTAAGTTGCTGATCCGACCGAAGTTAAGATGGGTTTAAGATACGAAGTCCAAGATGTTGTCGTCTCTGGTATGATCGCAGTCTCCTTTCGAGTGGAATGTTGACAAGTGAGAAGTTGTGGTAGGGCGGCAGAGGGTAAATAGTAGATAGATAGACGAGGACAGAAGGAGGAGTGATAATGTAACCGTTTTCAGTAGCACATTTGTCGAGTGATTGACTTCACTTGTCTCTTTTACAAGTTCGTAGCTTGCCAACTACGATGCTAGCGAAACGTCTGAGAATGTGCCAAGTCCACTGTCTGCTGCTGGAAATCATGACAACGACTATGGCAGACAACTTCGGACTAGGTGCGTTCTACTAAGTCGCCCTGACAACAATACCAAGTTGCGACAACGAGGTGAACCCACTTCTTTAAGATGGGTTGTTGTGGGAATTTTTATTTCCTGTCTGATGACCGAACTTGTAGGTCGATCTCATAGGGAGACGATATTTGATACGCGTTACTCTGTGAGCATTTGAACTATACCATTTTAAGTGAAGATATGAAGACCAAGATGTGACCTCTAGTATGGTTTCTTTGACGAGTTTGTAGATTGGTGCGGAGAATGGCAAAACTCACCCATGATGCCGACTATGATGCCGGCGAAACGTTTGAGAATGTACCAAGTCCACTGTCTGATGCTGGGAATCA